GAAAAGGAAAGATTTACCCAACTGAATGCAGACTTCCAGAGAACAGCAAGGAGAGATAAGGAGGCCTTTCTGAATGAACAATGCAAAGTAATAGAGGAAAACAATAGAATGGGAAGGACTAGAGATCTCTTCAAGAAAATTGGAGAAATCAAGGGAGCGTTCCATGCAAAGCTGGCCATGATAAAGGACAAAAACGGTAGGGACCTAACAGAAGCAGAAGAGATTAGGAAAAGATGGCAAGAATACACAGAAGAACTATACAAGAAAGACCTCAATGTCCTTGACAAACACGACGGTATAATCACTGACCTTGAGCCAGACATCCTGGAATGTGAAGTTAAATGGGCCTTAGAAAGCATTACTAACAACAAAGCTAGTGGAGGTGATGGTATTCCAGCTGAGCTATTCAAAGTCTTAAAAGATGATGCTGTTAAAGTGCTGCACGCAATTTGCCAGCAAATTTGGAAAACGCAACAGTGGCCACAGGATTGGAAAAGGTCAGTATACATTCCAATCCCAAAGAAGGGCAATGCCAAGGAATGTTCAAACTATCGCACAATTGCACTCATATCACACGCTAGCAAGGTCATGCTCAAGATCCTACAAGCTAGGCTTCAACAGTACGTGGATAGAGAACTGCCAGAAGTACAAGCTGGGTTTCGAAGAGGTAGAGGAACTAGAGATCAAATTGCCAACATTCGCTGGATTATGGAGAAAGCAAGAGAGTACCAGAAAAACATCTACTTCTGCTTCATTGACTATGCTAAAGCCTTTGACTGTGTGGATCACAACAAACTATGGCAGGTCCTTAAAGAGATGGGAGTACCAGACCACCTCACATGTCTCTTGAGAAACCTGTATAAGGGCCAAGAAGCGACAGTTAGAACCGGATACGGAACAACTGATTGGTTCAGCATAGGAAAAGGAGTACGACAAGGATGTATACTGTCACCTTGCTTATTTAATATATATGCAGAGTACATCATGCGAAATGCTGGCCTGGATGAATCACAAGCGGGAATTAAGATTGCTGGGGAAAAGATCAACAACCTCAGATATGCAGATGATACCACTCTAATGGCTGAAAGTGAAAAGGATCTAAAGAGCCTCTTGCTCAGAGTAAAAGAGGAGAGCGCAAAAGTGGGCTTGAAGCTCAACATCAAAAAAACTAAGATCATGGCATCCGGCCCCATCACTCCTTGGCAAATAGAAGGGGAAGTCGTGGAAGTAGTGACAGACTTCACGTTCCTGGGATCCCAGATCACCGCAGACTGTGACTGCAGCCATGAAATTAAAAGACGCCTGCTCCTTGGGAGGAAAGCGATGGCGAACCTAAACAGCATGATAAAAAGTAGAGACATCACCCTGCCAACAAAAGTCCGCATGGTCAAAGCAATGGTATTCCCAGTAGTCATGTATGGCTGCGAGAGTTGGACTATAAGGAAGGCCGAGCGCCGAAGAATAGATTCTTTTGAACTATGGTGCTGGAGAAGACTCTTGAGAGTCCCTTGGACTGCAAGAAGATCAAACCTTAAAGAAATCAACGCTGACTGTTCCCTGGAAGGCCAGATAATGAAACTGAAGCTCAAATACTTTGGCCACCAAATGAGAAGGGAGCACTCACTGGAGAAGACCCTGATGCTGGGAAAGATTGAAGGTCAAAGAAGACGGGGACGGCAAAGGATGAGATGGTTAGACAGTGTCATAGATGGAACAAACATGAAGTTGAGCAAACTTCAGAGGACGGCGGAAGACAGGAGGGCCTGGCGTGATCTGGTCCATGGGGTCATGAAGAGTCGGACTCGACTGTGCGACTGAACAACAACATTTTTTTAAATTTTATATTAAATGTATGAAAAGTTCTAGCCATAAGAGCTAGTGGAGCAAATTCATTTCTCGTTTTGCTACAACAGATTCAAATTGCTCTCCATCTAAGAATGTGTGTCTGGACTTAGTTACTTAATTTGTGCCAAGATCTCATGAGAGCAAATCCCTGGAATTTGTTTTCAATACTAGGGCTGAGTCCTGAAAGAAAAAAAAACTACCTCTGGGTATGCACAGAGTACCTTGTCCTCACCACTGAACAACTGCAATCTCTTGCCTCCCAACACACTTAATAATTCAGGTAGCTTTGTAGTTCATATATAACTGCTGAGCCCCTAACTCCTTTCCTCCAAACAGAAAACACGGCTTCTGATTTTTCCTCTCCACCTCTTCCCAATCTTCTGCCACTTAAAAACAAAATGTATTTTTTAAAACAGTGCATTAGTACATTGAAAGAACGCAATTTCATTTTTTGAATATTGATTTGATGTTCATCAATACAGAAAGCTCTCTGTGGAAGTTTGAAAAAAAAACACACCCTTTCTTCCTTCCCTCCATTTCTCCTCTCCAGAACCTTCTGTCACATCCTCTGGTTGTCTTCCTCAAGTCTGAGCACAATGTAGTTGAAAGCATCCAGCAGTAAAATTGTGCATTTTGCATTTAAACTCCTTGGAGGAGAATTTGGGGGCATGTGAAATAAACAGATTCATGTAGAAGAATTTCTTTTTTTGCCGCTTTCATTGCATGGCTCAGTAACTTATACGATCAACAGTTCTAAGGAAAGGAGGGGAGGGTTTCCTCTGCCACTGCAACTTTGAACACTTCAAATAAGAGAGGCATATGGACCATCTAGAAAAGCTAGTTATTTAGAATTTATTTTATTTTTTATTTATTAAGATTTATACCCCACCCTCCCCACAAAGCGGGCTCAGGGCGGCTTACAAGGGGAAACCCCATATAAAACAGATAAAAACAATAAAACATTAATGACAATTAATAATTTTTTTTACTTAATTTAACAAGATGGTCTCCGGATGGTTCTCCAGGGTGATGTTATCCTATAGCTCAACCAGGTAAATCCAGTGGCCACGCAGAAATTATGGCAGATCTTCCTAGGCCATCTTAACCCTGATGTTGTCCACCTCATTGGTGGCGGTGGTAGTGGTGGCCCCTATGTGAAAGCCTGGTGGAAGAGCTCCGTCTTACAGGCCCTACAGAACTGCATAAGGTCCCGCAGGGCCCTGATCTCCTCCGGGAGCTCGTTCCACCAGGTAGGGGCCACCACTGAAAAGGATCTGGTCCTAGTTGTGGCGAGCCTTGCCACCAGGCGATATTGTGCCCCCGGACCGAAGTGCTCTTGGGGGTATATATGGGGAAAGGCAGTCCCTCAGGTAAGTTGGACCTCAGCCATGAAGGGCTTTAAAGGTAAGTACCAGCACTTTAAAGCGGAATCGGTGTGCTATTGGCAGCCAGTGCAGCGCTTTCAGTCCAGGCCGGATGTTCTCCCACTTGGGGAGACCCTTGTCTTCATCTGTAAAGAGGAAAAATGACAGGGGAGGGACTTGGAAGAAGTCCCCGGCTGTTTGGGCGCACATAGGGGCTGAAAGACTCCTATATGTCTCCAAACAGCCAGTTCCCAATAGGGGGGATAAAAAGAAATAGGAGCTTGCTATATATGTAGGGCTGCCAAGCTCCCGGTGGGGCCTGAGGATATCCCACAATTACAGCTGATCTCTGGACTACAGAGATTAATTTTCCTGGAGAAAATGGCAGCTTTGGGTGGTGGACTCCATGGTCCTTCCCCTCCCCAACTCCACCCTCCCCAGAATCTCCCCCCCCCCAATATCAGAAGTGTCCCAATCTGTTACTGAAAACCCTGTCCACATGTTCCTCTTAGGCAGCCCTAAGTGATCATCAACTGCTACACACCCCTCAATGAAGGCTTGTATTGGAGGAACTCTGCATAAGATTGCACCCCCTCCCCCCCGCTCAAGACTGGCAAACGTAGCTCAGACCATCCACCTTTTGATAACTCTGCGAAGAGATACTATTTTTCCTTCTATTTTTTTTTTAAAGTCTAAACAGAACAGGGCTTGTCAGTGGAGGTGGGCTAGTTTTGATGGTCTCAGTCTCAGACCATAAAGAAATGTTATTCACCCATGCACAACATATCATTCATCCTAAGTGGCAGGCTCTGCTCTGGAGAAGCAGTTGACTGAGTTGCCTTACAAAGTCAATTACTGCTTTTTCTCAGGGAGGCGGAGGCAGCGTGGGCCAGAAAGGTTGAGATGCCTGCCAAGAAGGCATGGGGAAATTTGCTGTGTGTCAGCCTACATGACACAGTATCTCATTTGTGGATAAATATGAATCTGGTAGGAAAGAAAGAAAGAAAGAAAGAAAGAAAGAAAGAAAGAAAGAAAGAAAGAAAGAAAGAAAGAAAGAAAGAAAGAAAGAAAGAAAGAAAGAAAGCTATAAAATGCCCACTGCAACACTCCCAATTCCAAAAACTGAAATAAAATAAAGCTGTTTTTTTAAGACTGACTTAATCATTCTACCAATCCACTTTCATTAAGAGTTGTTTAAGGATGTCTTTACAGCCTGATTCCTATTTGGCTTCCTCAGGAAAGTGAACACCTCATAAGATTTCAGTAAAAACTTTGCCCAACTCATAACTGAGCAACATTTGAGAAATTATTTAATACATACATTATTGTCTGAGCAAGTCCTAACAACAGTAAAGGGAAAAAAAAATAATTGCCACACCATCTGGAATAAAAGACACTGCCTAGAGATTTCTCCAGTTTTTTAAAAAGGGAAAAGTCAAAAGGAGAATATCTTGAAATAAATGGCACACTTATTGCTGAGAAATGAGCCTAGATATATCTCAAACAAATGCTAAAGCTCAGAATTTACTGCATCATTCATGCAGTTTCGTCTCTCTCATTTCATGCCACAACAAGGGATTCTACATACTCCATATGAAATACAGCAAGACTGATCTCCCCCCACAGTAATAAACTCCACGCATGCATGACAAATCCAAGTATGCAAAATGTTTAACATCCCAGTTCAGAGATACTTTGGGGACAAAATCCGATTATGAGTTATATGCCACAATAAATAGGGCTCAGCGTTTCATAAAGCAATTTATAGTTCATAAAAATGACAAAATGTACCTGTCAGATAGAACCCGGAGAGCAGATTTCTGTGCTGCCTGCTGGAAGGAAGGGCAGAGATGTTTATTTTATACTCTGACTTTTAAAATATGAGCTCAATCAACGCTTAAAAAAAGTGTCACACACATTCCGGTCATGTGTCCACATTTTAAAGCATTAACAAGTAACAGTAAGCCCACAGTAAAAGGGATATTTTCCATCTAAAACATCTAATAACACTTTGTTAAGTATGCTATAAAGCCAGAGGACTGTTAAAGCACTGCCCAGAACTTTAAACCTGAACTATCCTATTGAGAGGAATTTTTAAAAAATCTTTCCAGGAATCAATCCCCTTCCTTTCCGCCATCTCCTTTACCATCAGTCTCCTCCCATTCTTCAACAGAAACAGATATCACATATTTGGGTTTCTGTAGTCATCTGTAGTTACAGAATGGCACATTTAGCAAGCTGTGTAAGATCTACAGGAGGCTTTTTAAGGCACTGTTGTAATAAGTAGCTGGCAAGTTTTGACTGTGCTACAGATGAATGATCCATTGATACTTCTTAGTCCTTGCCTACTGAAGGTGGTGGAAAAAATAGGGTTTGCTACTATGCTAACTTGTGGTTCAGGGAACAGAAATCATAGCTTATACAACTAGCAAGGCATTCAAGAATAAGCAGTGAACTAGCTTTCCCCTTTAATTATTGCCTTTTCCCAGACATGAGTCTTACAGCATATACTGACATGGCTGGCTTCATTTCAGTATCTAACTGAATATCCCTAAAGTTAAGATAATCTTGGCTGCAATTTTAGCCTTGGCTTTGACCTCATATATTCTGGAATTTGGCCTTCTTGCTTTGGAATAAAGACTTAGAGCACAAAAATGTATGAGGTCTGTTAAAGTCAAATACATGTAACTTTTAAATATAGTATTGATTTGATTCATTCATTTAAAAATTGTATCCCATCAACAGTGCCACCCTCAGCAGAATTTGCAACAGGGTATGAGCTTTCATGAGTCACTACTCAGTTCTTCAGATACAGCTAGAATGTGAGTCCATCTGTCCTTATACCTTGGATAGTAGAGTGATTTTAGATGCTGAATGACAATAGCAGGTGAATGATAAAAACAGGCATGATTGGATTAGGTGTGATATGCAGAGGGGTAGTAGGCATAGAGAAATCAGCATTGGTAACGAGACAGGAAACCTAGGTCTCAATTCAGTCCAGGAGGATGCAATGTCTTGAGCTTCATTATCAGATGCAATTCAGCAGTTTCTCTTTCTAATCTCCCTTGAAATTCCTTCGTAGGAGAACTGCTACTCTTAAATCAGCAACTGAATGTCCTGGAAGGTTAAAATGTTCCCCCACTGGTTTTTGAATGTTGTGGTTTCTAATAGCAATAGAAAGACTAAGGCTGATTTTGCACTAGAGCAGTCTCACTGTTGCACCGCCGTTTGCCCTGGTTCTATTGGTCAATTTCACACCCAAAGCCGCACGGCTGATTTTGACCCGTGGCTTTGCCCGATTTCCCCCTCAGTTTCGTGATCCTGTTTTTTGAGGATCAACGAAACTGCGGAGGAAATCGGGCGAAGCCGCGGGTCAAAATCAGCCGTGCCGCTTCGGGTGTGAAATTGACCAATAGAACCGGGGCAAATGGCGGTGCAACAGCGAGGCAGCTCTAGTGCAAAATCAGCCTAAGAGTCCAGTAGCACCTTAAGGCTAACAAAATTTGTAGTAGGGTATGTGCTTTCATGAGTCATTGCACACTTCTTTAGAGTTATTTCCATTTATTGTTTGCATCCTCCTGGACTGAATCCTCCTGTACCAAATTTCTGTGGTATTATTTTTTATTATTTTTCAAAATAACTTCTACGAAGCAGTTACCAACCGTAGAAATACATAAACAAACAAATGCTTTCCCGTAACTTAAACAGATTACAACAGAAATAACTCAGCATCCCCACATACAGATTCCACATGATACTCCAAGATCTATTTAGACTATATAAAATGAGGAATGAAAACTTCACCTAACAAGACCTGTAATAAAGTTTCACATTAAGATCCACTTATGGAAATGAATGTTAGTAGGTAATATATCATGCGTAGTAAGATATGAGAAAATTGGAAACCATGTAGATTCGAATTTGGAATAGAAAGACTGTGAGGTTTGGGCTTTATGTATCTTATCAGTGATCTTTGCCATCACAAAGTGCTTTCACACTTTTTTTCCTGTACCAAATTGAGACCTAGGTTTCCTGTTTCATCAGCAATGCTGATATCTCCACACCTACTACCCCTCTGCATATCACACTTAATCCAGTCAAGCCTGCTACTGCCATTCGGCATCTGAAATCATCTTTATAAAGTTTATATCTCCAGTACTTCATGTTACATTTTATGAGACACATTGCCCGGCCCAATAAAGTGACATTTGTCAGATCCAGCCCTCGTAACACATGAGTTTAACACCACTGCTCTAGATTGTGCCTTCCAGAAGGATTGGAACCCAATCGCATCCCAGCCATGTGGACTTTGATAACCATACCAATCACAGATTGAAATGGATCTAGATAAGGATCTAGAGAATCACCTTTATCCAAGAATCACCTTGCCCAGTAATGTAATATTGGAAATGGCCTAGCATTACTAAGATCAGAGAGATCTACAGAAGTCCCCCCCCCCCGGAGAAGTCATACTATAGCTTTCTTAAGCGGAGCTGGGACTGTTATACTGGTTATTCCTGGTACCCAATCAGGTACAACAAGGTTCAGTTTGGTCTTACTTTTAATTCTTGTGTTGTGCACCATGCAGTGAAATCAGAACATGAGTGGGTGCCACTCTTTTTTTTAATTCACTGTGTACAACATTGTTTAAACATCATTAATTTTATTTTTAGGGATGGATGAACCCTAGTCTCTACTGAATTCAGACTAGGTCCTTTACTTACAGATATGCTTAGTCTCAAAAGGTTCAATTCTAAGCTGGAGACACTTCAGTCTAGCCACACTTTCATATATCCAGATGGATTGACAAGCCAGTTGGTTTTGTGAGGTTCATAATGTGGTATGCGAGGGTCTTCCTTCCCTCCTTTCTGCTGTGTCGGGTCCTGAGGCCAGCAGAATGGGAGGGGGGAAGATCTTGCAAAAGCCATTTAAAGAGAGTGTTCCCTTTAAATGGCTTTTACAAGCACCATCACACGAGAGTGAAGTCCAAGTGGTGAGTTCACCACTGACGGGTGAACTCACTGCTTGGACTTTACTTGTACAAGGCACCCACTCACAAAAACTATTTAAGGGGAATGTTCCCTTTGAATGGCTTTTGCAAGCAGTGCCATGTGCGAGTGAAGTCCAAATGGTGAGTTCACCACTTCCAGGACATCACTTGTGCTTGGACATCACTTGTGCACAGCTTGCAAAAGCTATTTAAAGGGAACGCTTGGAAGTGGGGGTGGGGAACGAAAGGGATCACTGAAATGGCTTGCATCTATTTCAGCCTAACAGCTGAGAGGTTAACCAGCCCCACTGTTAGGCTGAAATGGATGCAAGCCATTTCAGCAATCCCTCTCGCTCCCACTTCCCACCACAAACCTCTGAAAACCACTGGAGAGTCATGGATAGGGCAAACTACGAACCGGCTACGTTCATCATGAAATTAGGTTTATGCCCATCCCTAGTCTCTACTATCCTCCATACTGAAAGGTAAGAGATGAGGTACAGCTCTTGCTGGAAGGGGCACCTGTAGATCTTTTCAGACCATTTCGGTTGCAGATTCTGAAATGACGCAGAATAAAATTGAGCTTCCCAACCTATCAATCCTATCAATACTACTATCATTAAATAACAATGATAATAATGAGTATTACTTATAAGCGACAATGAGTTCGAAGAATTTTTAAACTGTTATTTGTACATTTCTTTTTTATTAATAATTTTTTTATTTTTCAACATAACAAAACCAACATAAAAGGGGGAATTCACTTTCAGTTTCTTCAATAACATAATGATGCCTAGTTTATCATAAATTTGTGTAATTCACCTTATAATATTAACAATACCGCTTACAAATGTATGATACTTATACAATAAAAGTCCTTAAACTATAGATGAATATGTTGATTACTTGGAATTGTTATTTGTACATTTCTAATATATGTTTAGTACATGTATTAGAACAAATCTTAATTTTTTTTAAAGGAGAGTAATAGAAGGAAGTTCCTCTAGAAAGAAAATATTGGGTGATACATGATTCTGTCACCAATATTACTTTATTTGAAGTATTTCCACTCTACTTTTCCATATTAATAGTTAGGTGGCACCTTACAAAATTAAAAAAAGTATAAAACAATATAAACAGGATAAAAACACATCAAGATAATTAAAACAGGAACAGCTTCAACAAAGAATGACATAAAATGCAGTATTTCTTACAGCAAGATTAAAGCAGTATCTAGTTTAATAATTAAAACAGAAATCTTAAAAGGCATCCTAAGATAATAAAATTCTTAGGCAAATTATGCGGCTCCACTTGGTAAAGGTAAATTATCTAAAAGTTTTGGAAAATTAAGATGTCTTTAACTGGCCCCTCAAAGACTGTATAGTAGGCACCAGGCAAGCCTGTGTGTGGAGGGAGACCTGTAACCTTGGTGCCACAGCTGAAAAGTGTGATTATTTCTTGTAGTGGAATGCATCGCTTGCATCTAGGCCCATGACTTGCTCCATCTGCAGTGTACCATGTGCCTTGTGGGGCTCAGATGTGGCAAATGATCCACCTAATCCCTAAAAATTATGCTGTATGTACAATCATCCTTAGTTATATCCTGATTGCTTATTAAGACATAATTGATGTGTTTTCCTTCTATGCAGTTTAATTACTTACTTTAGGAAATTCCTTTTGGCCTCTCTAAATGCTACGTGGGTATCTATTTCAATCATCCTAAGTCTGTAATATTCACTTGTTTGTAGACTTGTTTCAGTGTTTATGTTCCACTTACGCCTTGTTAACATCTGCACTTCTGGAAATTTCATACTGGCTACCTATGTTTTGATAATTTCACAG